CGCCGACTTCGTCGCGGGGGATACAATAACCATAGGGTAATTGATTATATAAAGATATAATATAATAATAAATTATAAGTATATAATAAATATAATAAAATCTATAAATAATAATCGAGTACGATGTAATATATCTCCTTGAATGTCTGCAGGGTGTTGAAGCGGCTGGTGACCCTCATCACGGCTCAGGCAATGCTTGCTGCCTCTCACGACGCCGCCCTTAAGCAGGCCAAGAACGCATCGGAAACCGCCGAGAAACTCATGAAGGCAGCCAACGTGAGTGTCGGTCGCCGCGCGTCTGCAAGCGCCCTCTATAATAAACTCGCGTGCTTGCAGTAAGTGAAGACGTTAGCAGAGCCAGAGAGTGTCGACGAAAGTGAAAAAGTCGAAATAAAAATTGTTAAAAAAAAAATTTTAAACAAAATCGTGATGAAAGCGTCTGGCTGCGGGTTGCGTTGCGAGCGTGTGCATGGGAGTCGACGTTTAATGTTCCGTCTCTCGCTGCAGGAGAAGAGCGATGAGAACGAATCGAACGAGAAGGACGAGGAGCAGAAGAAGCTCATCTCGAAACTGAAGGAGGACCTCAACAAGGCCAGACAAGGTAGGGAGGCTAGGGAGACGTGGAATAGGCAGGGACTCGCCGCCACCTATCTCACCTGCACTACCCCGTGTAGATTAGATACAGTATATGTATATATATATATATATATATATATATATATATATATATATATATATATATATAAATGACAAAGGAGTAAGACACCGATTTGGTACTGATTTCACTACATTTTTGTCGTACGAGTTCGATGTGAATAGAAATACAAATGTATACAAACATGAGCTTCTTTTGTTCACTGGTCCTTATTCTATCTTTTGGTAGTATTACAAACTGCGTAGCTTCCTTGGTTTTGACATAATTCGTACTTTTGCACGACATGGTTTTCACGTTAGTTACCGTATTCTGGCGAGGCCAACTTCCAAATTCGCACACATAGCTACTTGAAGGAGGCGCGCCAGGGCTTTTCGGCCGTAGCCTAGTCGAGTGTCAGAAAATTCGCCTAGAAATTAAGTTACGTTGCACCCATGCTGGGTTTAAAAATTAAAACTATTTTACATTTAAACATAGTTAGAATGCCTTGTTTTTATGGTTGAATCCTGCAGTTTTTTTTAAATAAACGCTGCGCTGGTAAAATATCTGAACTACTTCACCCGCGGAGGAATGATGTGTATGAATCGTTATGAGTAAACTGACGCTCCAGCCGATTGTAGCTTTTTGCACATGTGTTTTGCATTAATTGCATAGCAACCGTTAGCTCTAGCCCGCGTACAGTTGGCGCTGGCGCTGCCTGAGGCGATCCCTGCCGTGCCTCCTTCAAGTAGCTGTGTGTGCGAATTTGGAGGTTGGCAACGCCAGAATACGGTAACTAACGTGAAAACCATGTCGTGCAAAAGTACGAATTATGTCAAAACGAAGGAAGCTACGCGGTTTGTAATACTACCGGAAGATAGAATAAGGACCAGTGAACAAAAGAAGCTCATGTTTGTATACATTTGTATTTCTATTCACATCGAACTCGTACGACAAAAATGTAGTGAAATCAGTACCAAATCGGTGTCTTACTCCTTTGTCATTATACGCTCCTGGTATATATATATATATATATATATATATATATA